TCTCTCTCTCACACACACACACACACTGTATTGTTCCGATGAACGTATCGGCTTGCCTGTTTTTCATATCTGATAGACGCAGACAAGAGGGATGGACATTATAAGCGCTATCACAGAACGTCTCTCACACACTTTTTTATCACACCACCCAGTTTCGAAATGAAAAGTAAGAAGAAAAAAAAAAAAAATTCAAGAACCGCTTTAGGACTTATTAAAATGACGGGCTTCCCTAACTCACACACTTGCAACAAGAAATGATGATAACACATTCAAGAATAAATATTACCCAACGTGATGTTTGCTCGAAATGAGACATGCTGTATTTACCACTTGTTGCTTTTGCTGCACAGATGGCACGCAAACAAGCATGCCTACAGTATATTTTAATAAAGTAGACTGTCACTCATTGTGTTAACACTATCGGCCTCGGCGGAGAGACTCCCCTTATTCGCATATGAAAGCTGTTTTTGAAAGCCTTCACCCCATGAATGGACGCCGCTTGTCACCGGTGACAGCAGCAGCACCCGTCGTTACGGCTGCACTCTCTGCGTCGGCGTTTCAGAACTCCGCTTTGTTGTTTTCTTTAACATGCCTTCATTAAATCCTGCACCATCCACGTGGATGAGTGAAGTCAAGTTTACACGGCAGGCTCTTTGCACGGCCAGGAAGCAAGAAGCCAGCTCTGTGGATTTAAAAGAACTATTATTCACCGCTTTCAAGTCAAAGTGAAAGTACATGTGACCAGTCATCAAATGCCAACAGGAAATTAAACAGGACCTGTTTAAAGCGATCAGCATAATATTTCACACTTGTGTGTACTGTTTTCAAGTCAGCATGTGGGCTTTTTCCTGAAAGATCCCCCCATATTAAAAAAACCAAAGGGCTCTTGAACAACATGTAATAATATTGAAAGTATTTTCAGATTTCTTATAACGTCAGTTGTGAGAAAAGCGTCAAAGGAGCTTTTGTGATGAGTATATCAAAGTATTTGCAAAGACATTTATTACACACAGTAAATCTGAAGTGTAAAAATGTACAGTATTTAAAAATACTTTTCAATACCGGTTATTAGTCGTTTGTTGTTTTTCTATTTTTTTGATGTTCTTAAATTATGCATTTATACTTTTTTCTGCATTAAAAATCAAAACCATTCGCTGGTATTTATTTTTTAAATTAGAAAATAAAAGTAGCTCACCTTTGGGATTAAAAAAAAATAGTGCATTAGATTCTATTTTTTTTCCCCCAAAAAACATTATTCAAATAATAAAGACGCAGAATAAATGATGGGAACCTTGTCAAAATGTAAATCCGCTTAGGTAAAAAGCAAAGTTTAAGGTCGAGAATAAGAGAATTAATTTTGATGACGATTCAGAATTTGCATCTTTTTTCAGTTACCACCAGATGTTTCACTTGTACTGCTTTTTGTCTCTACAACCAGCAGATAAAGAGAGAGAAGATGGTCCACCACAGAGAGGAGGATCTGATCGGAATCCCCTTCCCGAATCACAGCAGCGACGTCCTCTGCAGCCTCAACGAGCAGCGTCGCGACGGGCTGCTCTGCGATGTCATCCTCATCGTCCGAGACCAGGAGTACCGCACCCACCGCTCCGTCCTGGCCGCCTGCAGTCAGTACTTCAAGAAGCTCTTCACAGTGGCCACTACTGATGGCGGAGATCCCAATCACGCCGCGGCTGTGTATGAAATTGACTTTGTGGCTCCAGAGTCGCTCACAGCCATCCTGGAGTTCGCCTACACGTCCACGCTGACTGTGACGGCGTCAAACGTCAAAGAGATCCTGAATGCAGCTCAGATGCTGGAGATACCCTGCATCATTAACGTTTGCCTGGAGATCATGGACAGCGGTGGCGGAGGGGGTGGCGGCGGGGGTGGGAGAGAGGTGGAAGGGGAGGAAGATGAAGAGGAGGAAGAAGAAGAGGAGGAAGAGGAAGAGGAGGAGGAAGAGGAGGACGCGGGGTCGAGAAAGGATGAGCACGAGGAAGAGGAGGACAATGTCAGCGAGAGGTCGCTCCAGTCTTCCACGAGCAGGGGGGAGCGGACGCCCCCGGGGATGGAGGATTCGCCACCTCCGAGCACCTCTAAGTACCACCAGCAGTTCGGGCTGCACAGGGAGACGCCCCGGTCGCAGTCTCCAGAAACCATGAGAAAGCAGGTGAAATTCAGGGGATATCATCTTGTTTTTGTTGATAATCTTATCTTATTTAAGCTCTAAAACTAATGTATCTAAAACTTGTGTTGCAGGAGAGCATTGAGACTCGAGCTCTGAAAGATTTCTCCATCGAGTCTCTCCTGCAGGAAGGGCTCTACCCTCGCATGCCAGCACTGGACAGGAGGTCCAACTTTTCTCCTCTCCTCCCAGGATTCTACCCCCCAATGTGGGCCGCTGAGTTCCCAGCTTTCCCTCAGCAGCTTCTGGAGCCAGCCCACCACCCTCACATGGGGTCTTCACCACAAACCAGGCTCCCCCACAGCTTCCCTGCCTCCACACCACTCGAAGCCTCCAGACCCCTTGATCTGGCCGTAAAAAGAGAGATCATAAAAGAGGAGATGAAAGATGAAGTCCCTCCCAGTATGCTCCAAGGCGAACTGCTGAAGGAGTTTGTCAGCTCGAACCTGGACGGCACTATGAACGCAGGGTCAGTGCCAGCAGAGAGTCATCCGCTGGGTCCCATTAAGGATGAGGCAGACTTTCGATCGTACCTGAGTTTTCTGAGCTCCGCATCCCACCTGGGTGCGCTGTTCCCCCCCTGGCAGCTGGAGGAGGAGAGGAAGATGAAGCCCAAAGCATCACAGCAATGTCCCATCTGCAACAAGGTCATTCAAGGAGCTGGGAAACTGCCACGGCACATGAGGACACACACAGGGGAGAAACCATACATGTGCACAATCTGTGAAGTACGATTCACCAGGTACGTGGAAAGCAAACCCAACTGCTGCACATTAACAATTTGCATTATCTTGACATCTTCATCTAGCATACAAAGAGTGTAAACTGCAGGGTTAACGGAAAAGTACCCCATGCTCTTTTCACTGAGGTTAATCTGTTTTCACCTCATCTGAATATCAAAGACGTTAAAGTGGAAAGCCCCCTCTGCTTTTGCATTAGTGGTATCTCACTTACCTACATCCTCCCACTTTGGCATAGTTTCCACTTTTATTTTTAGAGCAGAACTTTAATGTTGACACTAAAAGGAAATCATCTGTGTTGGCTTTTTTTTTTGTAAATCAGTCACTTGTAAAACTCGAGAACTGAAAGGGCAATGGTGTAGGATTTATGTGTTAATCTCATTTTGTGAAAGTGTGCGGTTTTCTTCTTTTCTCAGACAAGACAAGCTGAAGATCCACATGCGGAAGCACACAGGTGAACGCCCCTACATCTGCCTTCACTGCAACTCCAAGTTTGTCCACAACTACGACCTGAAAAATCACCTGCGCATCCACACGGGCGTCCGTCCGTATCAGTGCGAACACTGCTACAAAAGTTTCACGCGGTCTGACCACCTGCATCGGCACATCAAGCGGCAGAGCTGCCGAATCTCACGCCCCCGGCGGGGACGGAAGCCAGCTGCTTGGCGTTCAGCGCCCCCCGGCAACTTCCTGTGTCCCCCTACTGCTGCGACCAACCGGTTCGAGGAGAGCAGGTTGAGCCCCGCGTACCAGGGGGTCAAGAGTCACGCACTTGGGGAGCTGCTGGGCCTCGGGAACAGAGGTCAGGGGTTTAAGAGCGCGGACGCTGCCGGCAGAGAGAGTAGGGAGGAGCTGCGGGCAGAAGGGAAGCACATCTCGGAGGAGGAGAAGCCGGGAGCTGGGAGGCAGAGGGGAGTGTTTGCTTTTGCTCTAGCTGGAGAAGAAGTGCTTGCCCAATCTCCATATTATGCTGCGACCTCTAACCCCTGGGCCATGAGGCTGGAGCGGGCTCCACCCATCCCTGAGCCGGCCAAATGAACACTGGTCTGCAGAAGACAAAAGGAAAAAAAAAAGACAAAGAAAATGTCTTTAATCTCTGCATCTCATCTGCTCCAGAAAGCTAAAGCACCTTTTACACAGAGAGAGAGAGAGACAGCAAGAGAGAGTGACGTGTCAATGAATAGCTTGAAGCCTGCTGATACGGCAAACAGATATTCAATCAAAAAGCAGACTCCTGTCACATCTGCACGAAACAGTAGGTCAACACAGGTCTTATTATTCACATTAATGAAGGTTCTCTTCTAAATGAATGTGATTA